TCCTCCTCCTCCTCCTCCTCCTCGTCGTCCTCCTCCCTCCTCCTCCTCCTCCTCCTCCTCCTCCTCCTCCTCCTCCTCCTCCTCCTCCTCCTCTCCTCCTCCTCCTCGTCCTCCTCCTCCTCCTCCTCATCATCATCAATTTCCCCCTCCTCCTCCTCCTCCTCATCCTCCTCCTCCTCCTCCTCCTCCTCCTCCTCCTCCTCCTCCTCCTCCTCCTCCTCCTCCTCCCCTGCTTTCACCTCCTTCACGTTCCTGTGTTCATCGACCTCGTCCTCCCTCTCGCTCGGACCCCCGATGCTCCTACTTCTACTGGCCATGGCACGGGCGCCCTTCTTCTCGTCACGCGCGACATGGCACGCGTCCACGGAGAAAGCCGCCTTCGGCAATTTCCTCTGGCACTTGCAGCCTGACCCGACCTTCCGCCTCTCCCCGATATTCCCCCTTGCTCCTTCTCCTCCTCCCTCTTTCTCCTCCCCCTCCTCCTCTTCCCCCTTTTCCTCCTCATCCTCCTCCTTTGCGTTCACCTCTTCGCGTTCCTCTTTTCATCGGCCTCGTCCTCCCTCTCGCTCGGACCCCCGCTTTTCCTACTTCTACTGGCCATGGCACGGGCGCCCTACTGGTATCAGTTGCATGCCTTGCATTTCAAGGTACCCGTCTTCTCGTCACGCGCGACATGGCTCGCGTCCACGGAGAAAGCCGACTTCGGCAATTTCCTCTGGCACTTGCCACTGCACTGAAAGGCTTGCCAACTGCGCGCCGCGAACCCGTTGACAATGCAACCTGCGCATACAACTTTACTCTTCCTCGCTGATGTGTTGCTGCCGAGCGAACTCTTTCTTGCGCGCCGCACACGTCAGCAGCCGCTTCAACCGCTTCGATTCATCGACGACCCCTTTCGCGGTTATGTCGCGTTTACTGCAGTCCCCGCACACCACTCTCGCTCCTTTCTTCGCCCTGTGGCCCTCCACCTGGTTGCGATTCAAATGTCCCGTCTCCCAAAAACTCACCCCGCATCCTGGCGCGCAGCACGTCAGCGGCTTCGCCACCGCCTCTTCTTTACGCTTCCTATTATTCGACTCGCGCGTCGCCTTGTCACGTTCCTCCGCGCATGTCCTACACAGCCTCACCCTCGCTGCATGGTGCTTCTTCTGTGCATCCGACATGTCCGCCTTCTCCTCGTACAGCGACAGGCACTTCTCGTTCGAACATCGCACAGTGCCGACGCTGCCGCTCCACTTCGCCTTGCCGCTCCGCGAATTCTTCATCGCCTTGACATGACTGCACTTCGCGCAGTACATTGTTCGAATCCTTTTCGTCTGCCCGTCGCCGGCCGCTGCGTCCGCGCCCCGACCGCTACCGCGCCACGCCGCATCTTCCCCTCCGCTCTCGTTGCCCACCCTTTGCACGTTGTGCGCCATTTTTCGTTGGCGTTTTTTTCATCTCTTCCGTGCATTATTCGCAGAACGCTGGCCTTTCCTTCCTCTGGAAGTCGTACTTCGTGAACGCCTCTACAAGCAGCCTCCGGCGGCAGCGCTCGCACTGGTCTCGTGGCATTAGTTCCGCTTCCCATTCATCCCAATCCACGCTCTCCCCTCGTAGCACCTGCAACAGTTTTTTCGTGCCCGCCATCTCTCCTGCGTTGTACGGCTTCCTATCAAAAGGCCTGGAGATCAGCAAGTTCTCTCTGCTTATTATTGTTATTATTCCTCCTCTTCCTTCTCCTCCTCTTCGCTCTCGTCATCCTCCACATCATCATCCGCGCCATCCTCCTCCTCCTAATCATCGTCATCATCATCAGCAGCAACATCAGCATCATCATCATCAGCATCATCCTAAGCAGCATTATTATTAGTAGTATCATCGTAATCATCATCATCAGCAGCAGCATCAGCATCGTCATCATCAGCATCATCCTCATCAGCATCATCTTCATCATCATTATAAACACCATCATCATCAGCACAAGCATCGCCAGCAACACCGTCAGCATCACAATCAGCATTATCATCATGATCCTCATCATCATCATGATCATGATCATCAGCAGCAGCAGCAGCATCATCATCACTACCATCAGCATCATCACCATCATCAGCAGCAGCATCATCAGCATATGTTGCCTCCTACAACTCATCATCAGCATCAGCATCATCAGCAGCCGCAGCGTCAGCGTCAGCGTCAGCATGATGAGCATGATCACCATCAGCATCATCAACATCATCATCATCATCATCATCATCATCATCATCATCATCATCATCATCATCAGCATCATCATCATCATCATCATCATCATCATCATCATCAGCATCGTCGCCAGTAGCCTCGGCATCATCAGCATCATCATCATCAGCATCAGCAGCATCATCAGCAGCATCGTCAAGAGCATCAGCACCATCAGCATCGACATAATCATCATCATCATCGTCAGAATCATCGTCAGCATCACCATCAGCATCATCATCATCCGAATCAGCATCAGCATTATCATCATCATCATCATCATCATCATCATCATCATCATCATCATCATCAACATCAACATAACCATTACCATTATCAGCATCACCGCCATTACCATCAGCATCATCACCACCATGCTCATCAGTTATCATCAGCATCCTCATGGTCAACGGGATGCTAATCATCAGTCACAACAGTATCAACCTCCTTGTCATAAGCAGCAGCACAGTCGCCATCAACACAATTACCAGCATAAGCAGCATCATCATCGTCATCATCATCATCATCAACATCATCATCATCATCATCATCATCATCATCATCATCATCATCATCAGTATCATCAGCATCAGCATCAGCATCAGCATCATCAGCAGCATTATCATCCGCATGACCATCATCGTACTCCGCAGCAGCAACATCAGCATCAGCATTGCCATCACCATTACAGAGCATCATCAGCAGCATCATCATCATAATCCGCCGACCCCTTGTGGGTCTCTAGGCGTGTGAGATTATCCCCCCCCATAATCCCCCCCAGGGACCCCAAACCGGCAATTCGACGCCCCCGTCCTCGCCCAGCCCGACCCCGGACCGAACGCGTCACGGGGGAGCGGAGGGCTCCAAATCTGGCCAAGAAGACACCGAAACGCTCCCCTGACGGTCTTGGGGGGCCACGACTCGTCGAAATATCGCCCTGGACGCCCACGATGGCCTCCAGGCGGCCTCCGAAGCTGCCAAGACGCCCCAAAAGGCTCCAAGATGCGCCCCAAGAGAGTCCCAGGAAACAGAAAATCGCCCCATTCCCTTAGAAAAAACAATCATTGTTCGCATGCTCGCCTATTCGGTTTTCACAACGTCCCAGACGGGCAGAGAAACATTCTATATCGCCCCCAGACGGCCGAAGGGGCCCCCAAGAAGGGTCGAAGAGGGTCCAACAACAGCCCCCGTAGCCCCCAAGACAACCGAAGAATGCCCCCAGACGGCTCCAAGACGGAGCCCACAGGGCACCTTTTCGAGCCTTCGGCCCGAAGACGCCCCCTGTGCTCCAAGAACAACCCAAGAGGCCCTGAGGGACCCCCAAGAGAACCTCAAAGGCCTCCAAGAAGCCCCCAGGAAGCCCCCAAGAGGCCCCAAAACTTGGCCCAAGATGCCTCGAGGCGGCCGGATATGGCCTGCAGACAGGCCAAGATGCCACCAAAAGGCAGCAAAAGAGCACCAAGAGATACGATAACAGCAACGAAGCAACAGGAACGATGTCGAGCGCCGTGTCATGATTCGAACAAGCCTCGTGAAATGCAGTCCTGCAGACGCAGTAGTTTATATAGGGGTCGGCGGATGTGGGGTAAGCCTATAGAATATCTCCCACGACAAACCATCCGATTTGTTTTGCACGCCTCGCATGTCACTTACAGTCTCTCTCTCTCTCTCTCTCTGACTCTCGTGTTTGTTCTCTCTCTCTCTTTCTCTCTCTCTCTCTCTCTCTCTCTTATGGCAAGTTACGGCCAAACCAACACGCCTATGCCGATATACACCAGGCCAGGCAGCGCCGACCTAACAACATGTACTGGGATGGAAGATGGAATATGGCAGGGGTCGGGTGGATCATGTGGATGTAGGATCTGCCTAGCCATTTTGGCCTTCGGCGGAGGGGCTTCTGCCCTACTGTGGGCCAAGTTTCTATCTCACCTGGAAGATATGTCTATTCACAGGCCAGCCTAAAGAGAGCCAGCCTCAGAAATCATGTGTAGATTTAAATTCAGGCTCTCCTGTTAAGGAGAGAACAGCAGCCACAAGGGTGGCCACAATGACACCCCCCCCCTATGAACTGGAACGGTGAAGGGGCCTCCCCCCGACGAACCGACAAGACACGGGTAGCAGCCCAATAATTGCTAATTTGTACTCCGCCACAGGGCCAGCCAGCATAGTCTATCACAGCCCTACACACTTTGCTCAACATCTGTACGCTCTCTCTTTTGCACCTACTCCTAGAATCCCCTGTCCTTTTTGCCTTGAATTCGCTCTGCACGCCACTTTTTACCTTGACGCGGCTTGCCTGGATAAAAGTAAGGGGATTGTAGGCTATGTATCATATGCCTAACGTGCTGGGGGGCACCACGGTACTACCAGGCTTAGCTGATGTTTGCGGCCTGGCGGGCGCATACTCTAAGGTCTTCGGATCCTGCACTCCTTCTTCGCTTCTTTTTGCCCTTCATTTTCTTACTGCGCCCGCCTGGCCTGGTTCGTTTGTGCTTCGCCTAAGTCGACACTCTGCACTGTTTGTTGCATTCGAATGCGACAAGCCTGCGCTTCACGTCGGGGCAACGTCAAAAAAGAGGAGGACAAGAAGGAGGAGGAGGAGGAGGAGGAGGAGAAAGAGGAGGATGAGGAGGGAGAAGGGGGAGGAAAAGGAGGAGGCGGACGAGGAGAAGGAGGAGAAGGAGGCGGAGGACGAGGAAGGAGGAGGTCCCCTGGAAGCCCCAAAGGCTCCCTGGAAACGCATCACGCGGCACCCAGCGGTCATCGGCCCCCGTGGCCTGCGGCACCGCTGGCCTCCCCGCCAGCCTTCGGGCTGGCCGCAGCCGTTGCGCCGCCGGCCCAGGCGGAGCAGCCTGCGGGCGCGGGTCCCCCCCCCCTCCCCAGAGATCCGACACTCCAACAAAATGGGAGCGGGCAGCATTCGGCCGTTTTTGGCCTCTGAGGGCCCTCGCTGGGCCCTGGGACCGTCGAAAAAATTGGAGCAGCTGGATGTCTGGGTCCCGAGGTCGAGGTCGGTGCGCGGCGCGCGATGATCTTCGGGCCCTTGCGCCCCCGCGCCGCCCCGTCGTAGAAGGGCACCCGCTCCGGCCCAGATCGCGACGCGCGGAGCGCGTCTGGGCGCACGACGAGATCTGGGCGCTGCAATCCCACCAGCCCTTCAGGGCGCAGGTGGTTCACCGAGCTCATTGTTCCAGCTCCTACCCTTGCGGTGAAGTTTACCCCTCCCCCTGCCCTCTTTCCTGGGCCTGGACGGAGGATTCCGCCAGAGGTTCGAGCGTCCTACATGGCGAAACATGGCCCCAAGAGGGCCCTGATAGCCCAAGATGGCTTCCAAAATGGCACAAGGTAGGCAAAGCCTGGTCGAATGACATCGGTCCGAAAGCGGACTAGCAGAAGCAAGGCCCTGACCTGGGCTGAGACAAATAACTGCACGTGTGACGTTGGAAAATTGCATGCGTAGTTGAATTCAGACTGCTTGCTCGTATGCTGCGCACGCCACGTCCTTCGGTTTCGAACAGCGACGAACCATGGTTCTCCAAATTGTGCCGGCGAAAACCGTTGTAAGACATCGTCCCGACGAAATGCTGGACGTCCCCTCCCCCGCCGTATTCCAGCATAGGTGGCGGGCTGGTTCCAACTCGATGCCTGGTGACCAAACTGTCAAATTTCTGCCCAGGCTGGCCTGCGAAACTGCATTGTAGCTGGGCCACCCGCTTCCGCCAGCTCTCAGACGGGTAAGCTCTTAATGATTAGTCAACCCAGGTGTTCTTTCAGCGCGTCGTAATGTTCCAATCCCGGCCGTCACTCCGCGCCCAGCCCACAATCAGACGCAGCATGCGCCGCTGAAGAACGCCCCACTGCTCCTTCCAGCGAGTCGTAAGAGTAAGTGTTGGCAAACCAAACAACACTGTAGACTTCACAACTGACTCAAAAAGCTCGAGGAAACGATGGATGGAAACCTGCTCGTCTATGCGGATGCCCCTACGCTCGTGAAACATGTACCAGGCGGCCTGGAGCCGGCTCGACAGCTCGACGCCAGCACGCTGCCGCAAACACCACAGCATAGTCCGTCCCAAATATACGTGGGTATCGCCCCCAAACAAAATTTCGACCATGTTACCACCGATCTCGACATGCGTCGGCACCGTAAGGTCCTCCGTCGTCAAGACCTGTCTGCGAAGCCCTGAGGTGCAGGCCAGCCCGGCGAAGTTCAGCGCATAAAAATTCCACCACGCCGCACAGTTCGCCGCAGGATGTAGACTAGACAGCAAGGTCGTCGGCGCACTGGACGTTGGCGAGACTCCCGCTAAACGCGCCGCCCAAGTCAAGACCGCGATTGCCTAGAAAACGCCTCCACCGTGAAAATGCCAGTTCCTGGCTGGCGCTGAAAAGCACGGGTCTGATGGCATCATCCTGCTGGATACCTTTTTTGATGCCGGGGCGCTGCGAGCCCTGCGCACGACCCGCTCGACAAATGTGCAGCACCAAGAATAGGTCTACGCACGACTGGCCCATGCCTCGGCCGCGCAGAGCCTCAAACGCAGCAAGATCTTCAACTCGGTCAAGCGATGTCTCTGCATCGCGGTTTGCGACCCAACGCGGCACATTCAACTCCAACTACTGGCCGCACACGTTCTCCGGCATTACAATAGCAGATTGATTGAGCGCATTCACCACAACCCTACTTGGCCAGGCGGCTGCTTTGTTTCAAGGTGTTCTTTCAGCCGTGCCTACGCCAACTGTGAGACTCTGTTACACGTTATCCGCAAGATGGCAATGGGTCTCCAATTGCTGGGTTTGCTCCTGTCCTACGGTGCGTCTGCCAGCTCGGAAGCGCATCTGAACATCTCAGCAAACATGCCGAACTCGTCCTAGTATTTCCGGCTACCCATCTGAGAAGCGTCTGCTGGCATCGCCGCCAATACCCAGCCATTGAGTCGTCGTCTTCGTCGAACGCCCAGTCCGAAGCAGACAGATCAGCAAGAATATATATATATATATATATATATATATCGGCGTCGCGCTCTGCAGCTTCAAGGAGCTCTGGCATTTGGCCCCCACAATTCCTGAGCGTCGGCACTCGTGCAACGATGGGTCGGGTCCTAATAGCACTGGCGAGGTCAACGCCCGCTGATACTGTTAGAGCAAAACATCCGCAGGGCTGCCCCCCACCCAAGATACCATCCCGTAGCGCGCCTTTGCCTCAATGTTGCAGAGATGGCAGAAGACTGCAGTATCCCGTTGTTCCGCCCACTTGGCGACGCAGGACGCGAGCGAGCACGCGGCCCTAAGCAAGTCGCGCTCGGCCATGCGCGCGCCAGATAACACCTTCATCAGGACCTTCGTCGCAATGGGCTGAAGAACGCCAGGCGGGGCCGGCGGCCGCGGGCCCGCTGGCCCGTCGTCTTCCATCACCGGCCCACCTATCTCAGGCGCGGTGTCAGAAGGGCCAGTTTGGGCGTTGATCTGCACGCACTCGGCGATTGCTTCCTCCGCCAGGGGAAACCCCTTCGCCCCGCGGGCCGCCCTGCCCGTCCCCCAGGTCGTTCAGCTCCGCGCCATTAAGGCGCGCCTGCCTGCGGATACGCGGCAAGATCAGCGTCCGTAACCTCGGCGCACAGCGAGACACTGGACGTAAAGAAATCCCCCACGTCATACTCCATGACTCGCACCTTCCGTCTAGGCCCCGGCACATGGGGCCCAGGCGTTTCCTCGGCACCGGGCGCGCTGTCACTGCCGGCGATTATCTGGGCTGGGCTCGCAGGCGCGCAACAGCATCTAACAATATCATCTCTGACGGGCCTGCACGGGGCGGCGCGAGACACCGTCTCACCACCGCCACCCGACTCGGATTCAGCGGTCTTGTAGAACAAAAGCTTAGCCGCATTCCTGGGGCCGCCAGGTCCTTCGGGGATGTCGGCACACAGACGGTCACGGCCAGCTGACTGCGGGTCCTGCATATCTTCAAGATCCCCCCATGTGTCGCAATTAAGAAGTAGTCGTCGAGTCGCCGTTCTTCAATCTGATCCCGAGCGCAGTCAATCCCCACATCGCCGCGCGTCGGCGTCGCATCGGGCCCACGCGCACTGACCATATGGAACGGGATAGGAGTGATCGGCATAGACAGGGAGAACGCCGCCAATCAGAACTGAACGGGATCACTGAATCCGAATTCAGCGGCAGCCGCGCCCTTCGCTTCTTAGCTTTCCACGGGGAAGATCTAACACTGTCGGACCTTCACCCTGCCAGTCTATCCATTTATCCGATATTCGGCGCTGACAACCCAAGCATCTACCCACAGCGGCGTCGGGGTCAATCTCGACACCGTTGGGCGCCGCACGAGAGGGACCCCACCCATCCTGCGCGTTGGAAGCCGGGCCAGCCAGCGTAAAGTCGCCAACATAAGTGACAAGGAAAAGTGTCTAGGTTGGGCGGAAGTAGCAGCTTCGCCACGATGGAACCTGCGCGAAGCCCTTCGCGCGCAGCGCGTTTCGCGGTGCTCCCTCCAGCGCCCGCCAATATCAGGGGTGGCCGTACAAGGCCAGCCTGGGCTCGGCGCCATCTGACCCCCCACCTCGAAACGCACTTCCCCCGCCATCAGCGCCGCCGCCGGGCTCGTTCGGATTCGGAGAAGCATGTCCAAGAAATGTGGCAGCAGGCACTGCCTGCGCGCCACCAAGCTTCCTTTCCTTCCCCCGGCTCTCCGGCATTCTCGAGAGCCTCAACCTTAGCGCGCCTCTCAGCTCGCAACTCCCGCGCCCCGGCGTTCACTTCTGCGCGGCGTTCAATTTTTAGCCTGACCACTCGGTGCATTCCAACAATTCCCTGACGATCGGCCCTTGCTGAGTCCGCAAACGCCCGCGCGCGTTTAGCGACCTCCCTTTCGATCCTCTGCTCTGCCCGGCGGTCAGAGCCGCGCGCGGCACTGCCGCGGGGCGCCCCGGGCAGCGGCGGGCAGTCGAATGGCCCAGCACCATGGGGGGCTGCGCAGAAATTCGCCCACCCGGTGCCATCCTAATTGCACGCTCCTGCGTTTCTTCTCACCCCCCATGCTTTTCCTCGGCATCTCGGCCCCTTTTCGCTGGCCACGCAGCGCAAAGTACGCAATTCAATGGTTATCGGTCAAGTTGTTCGACGCAAAACGCGTCCGAGCACTGCCCGCAAACCCGACCTGCTGGCCCGTTGCATACGATACACCAGCAGCGCGCCCGCCCCGTTAGCAAACCGCGCCGACCTAGACGCCGGCGCCCGGGTAGCGGGCGCTCCAGCCGTCACGACCTCGGTCGTCGCAGCTTCAACCTGAGCAGCATGCCCACGCATGCCGCCGCGCAAGCGATGCTCAGCCTGCTCGCGATCTTGCTACTCGCACTGTGCCTCCCGGGTAGTTCTTTGCAGCGTCTGCGACGCATTGAAATCCACGCTTCGAGATGCGGCGCCCAACCTGTCGTTTGCTTCTTGCTCTGTCATTAGAATCCTCGGTAAGGCGTCGCGGGCCTCAGCATTGGCCCGAGCACAGGATGCGCTCGACTCCCAGGCGATTGCCTTTTCCCTCTGGCGAGAGTCACTGACTTCGCTTTGGGCCCGTTGAATCAGCGCGGCACTCTCGGCCGACGCACGCCCGGCAAGTTCCGCCGCCGCGAGTCTGTCGGCAGAGGCCTTCTGAACCTCAGCGTTGGCAATGGATTCCAGAATGACATCGCGCGCCCCAGCGGCCCCACGCTCATCGGCCAGCGCGGAGACGGCCGCGCGCCGGCTCTGGCCAGCCCCCTGGATAGCAATCGGCGCCTTCTCGGCGACGTCATTTTCCAGAGCCTGGGCCAGCGTTTCGGCCATCATTGAAGCCTCGAGTCGG